ACCTGTATTACAAACAATAAAAAAGAGACAACGGCCAGGCATGGTGGCTCGCGCCTGTAATCTCAGCACTTTGGGAGGCCAAGGTGGGTGGATCACTTGAGGTCAGGAGTTCAAGACCAGCCTGGCCAACATAGTGAAACTCCGTTTCTATTAAAAATACAAAAAAACTAGCTGGGCGTGGTGGTGCACGCCTGTAGTCCCAGCTACTCGGGAGGCTGAGGCACAAGAATTGCTTGAACCTGAGTGGCGGAGGTTGCAGCGAGCCGACTGCATCACTGCACTGCAGCCTGGGCAACAGAGCACGACTCCATCTCAAACAAAAAAAAAAAAAAGAGAGACAGAGCGAGAGACAACAATGAATTCTGAACCTCAAGAACCAATGTCAAGATAATAGGTAATTCCTCATAAACACATACAAGGCAGAATAAGAGGCATCTTGAGAGAGATTCAAATAAAGTAATTCCAGGCTTCAAAGCTGAGGGCTTCAAAGCCTTCCTTCAAAGATCAGGATGTTAGCAACGACCTCATAGAAAGGTCATGTAAGATCAGACTAAGTTATTTTTCACTGCATCTTTTTTCCCTTTTACAAAAGGGATACATGTTCATTATGTTTAGTAATGGAAAGACAGAAGACAGTAAAGAAAACCCCTTACAACCCTAACATCCAGAAAGAAACATTTTAATGTATTTTTTTTCAGGTTTTTCTGTGTGATTGTGTGTATTTATATTTATCTATTACATATTGGGTACTATACTGGATGTTATTTTGAAACACATGCTTGTAAATTAAAAACAGATCAAAAATATTTTCTAATACCACTACATTCTCTCCTATACACTCTCCACGGGAGTATATTATTCCAGTGTGTGACTCTAGAACAATTTATTTGACCTTGGTCTCTATCATTGTACACCTACTAAACTTTTTCCAATATTTTGCTATTATAAGCTATTATAAGTAAATAGTCATTAAATCCTTAGTTGTTTTCTTAGGGTAGAAATTTCTTTAAAAGTTACACATATTTCTAGGACTTCTGATACAGAAAGGCGGAAAACCTTGCTTTGGATCCTTTTGTAGTTCATGAGTGTGATAGACTGGGTGTTCGTATGCATGTGTGAGATGCGCCACCATCGAACCTTGTTATGATATGGACACATTACCTGTCTGACATGAAGAAAAAAGAAAAGGAAAAAATGAAAAACTGGGGGAAAAAGGAAATCAAAAAGAGAAAAACAAACAAACAAAACCCCCCCACAACCTTGCCTGCCCATAAAGCATGTATGTATAAATTAGGAAAATGTGTTCCCTGTAGATGGGAACAGCTTTCTGGGCAAACAGCTCAACAAGCACATGGCATCTTTATGTGAATTTGTTTTAAGTGTGCCCTTTATAGGATATAATTTGGTGAATCAATGGCAGGCTAGATATGAGTCCCATTTGACTTAGAGATCTTAAACACAGAATAACCTGATTTACCATATATGACAGTCCTGAGAAAGGTTTGATCAATTTACAGTGCTAATTCTATATATCCAGTTGGCAATTTATGTCTTCTATATGTATTTTGTAAATTGCCTGTGATATATTTTGCCATTCTTTTAAAATAAGGAAGAAAGTTTTTTTTCTTGTTAATTCTCAAGAGTTCATTGTCTATTATGTTGTAAACATTTTCCCAGTATGTTATTTTGATTTTGGTTTTAAGTCATTTTTTAGATAGTAAAGTATTTTTAAATTGTAATTAGGAATTAAAGTTTTTTAGTTTTATACATTGAAAGTTATTCTCACCTTTTATGGTTTCTGCCTTAGACTGAACACTTTGAAAGGAGTTTGCTACTTCAAAATCAGTATTTACCTACACTTTTGTCATGTCTTACTGATTTTATTTTTCGTTTATTTCTCCACTTAACTCTTTTGTTCTTTAAAACTTTGCTCTGGTCTCTGGTCTGAGGTCTAGGAGATAACTGAATTTCTTCTTCTTCCCAATTACGTGAAATTTCTCTGTTATCACATATTTATTTAGATCCGTTTCTGAGACTTCTTTTTCATGTTCTTCAAGATTTTTGATGTTATTCTACCCTTCTACACTTTTAATTATTATAGCTCTATAATATATTAGAATATGTAAATGAATGATTCTGTCTTCATTTTTAAATCCTGGTCAAATTTTTGCCGAATTATTTTTATATATAATATTTAAAATTATTTTGTCAACTCCTAAGGTTGATTAGAATTTTGACTGGTACTTCCAACAGAGGACATAGTGCCACTGCTTATTGTAAAAAATAAAACAAAAAACCCCCATATAACATGGTATCTATTCTCTTAAATTTTTAAGTGTACAGTATTGTTAGCCATAAGGCACATTGTTGTACAAATCTCTAGAACTTTTTCATCTTACATGACTGAAACTTCATATCCTCAATTCTCCATTTCCCCATTCCCCCATCATTCATTCTACTTTCTGTTCCTTTTGGTTTGACTACTATAGACACTCATGTAAGTGGGATCAGGCAGTATGTGCCCTTCTGTGACCGGATTATATTCACTTCGCATAATGTCTTCAAGGCTGACCCATATTGCAGCATATGACAGAAGTTACTTCTTCTTTATGGTTGAATAATATCCCCTAGTACATATACGCATTTTCTTTACCTATTCATCTACTGACAGACATTTAGATTGTTTCCAAATCTTAGCTATTGTGAACAAGGTTTCAATGAATATGAGAGGGCAAATGTCTCTTTGAGATCCTAGTTTCAATTATTTTGGACAAATACCCAGAAATGAGATTGTCTGATCATATGGTAGTTCTATTTTTAATTTTTTGAGGAAATTCCCTACTGTTTTCCATAGCAGCTCCACCATTTTATATTCCCACCAATGGTACTGACTGGTTCCACTTTTTCTACATCCTTGTCAACATTTGCTATTTTCCGTGTGGTAGGGTTTGGGTTTTGGTTTTGGTTTTGATTAATAGCCATCGTAAAAGGCATAATGGGATATCTCACTGTGGTTTTGATTTGCATGTCCCTGAACGATTAGTGATGTTGGCACCTGTTGGCTATTTGTTGTCTTATTTGGAGAAATGTCTATTCAAGCCCATTACCCAATTTTTAAAAATTAGGTTCTTCTTTTCTTCACTCTATGTTTTTAAATTTTATGACTTTCAGTAAAATTACATAAATTTATTCACAAAGGTCTGTACTTTTCTGGTTAAGTCTGTAACACATATATTGGTAATGCTACTGGGAAATTTTTCCCAAAAGATCTTTAAATTTATTATTTCCAGAGAGGAGTAATGAGAAAAAAGGGAAGTTTTATAAAAAGGCTAGAGACAAAGATACTTTCAGTTAGGGAGAACATCAGAAGTAAAAAACACATTAGTAAGAAAGCACAGGGTGTGTGTGGAAAACATCAGGTCTTGAGTTGGATCACAGAATACGTGTAGAGGGAAAGTAATAAAAGCAAGGTTGTAAAAGATTGGAATTAAATTGGTAGAGTCTTAATTCACTTGAAAATGGGGAGCCACTTCTGTTTTGAGTAGAAAAACAGTATGATCAGAGCTGTGTAAAGAGGGTGTGAGATGGCCTAGAGTGGTAGAACCTAGAGATAGAGCTGAGCTGGAAAGCAACCGAAATTCTCCAGGTGAGTGATCTTAAAACCTGGGTAAGCTGAGGTCTGCAGGAAAACAAAACAAAACAAAACAAGGAAGGACATCAGAAACAAACTCAGTGGAAGGACAGAGAGGAGCCAGAGGAGGACAAGGTTTCATGCCTGAATGACCAAAAACTATCAAAAACTACGATATTCTCAACAGAAATCAGGGAAAAGTTTGGGGAGGTGAAAACGATGAGCCTGGCTATAGGTATAGTGCCCCACCAGGAGGGTAGAAGACAGTATTATGGAGTTCATCAGGGCCTCACTTGTCTTCTGGATGAAACTGTAGGCCTATTGAAAGGCCCTGGGATCTTTACTACTCTTCCCTCGATGCCTAGGAACAATTCTGCTTACATGGATGGTTAGGCAGGAGTCCTGACAGCATTTACTTTGAGACTTTTACCATTCATATTGATTGCTGTATTTCTTTTTTCTTTTTTTTTTTTTTTTTTGAGACGGCGTCTCGCTCTGTCGCCCAGGCTGGAGTGCAGTGGCACAATCTCGGCTCACTGCAAGCTCCGCTCCGCCTCCCGGGTTCACGCCATTCTCCTGCCTCAGCTTCCCAAGTAGCTGGGGCTACAGGCGCATGCTACCACGCCCGGCTAATTTTTTGTAATTTTAGTAGAGACGGGGTTTCACCATGTTAGCCAGGATGGTCTCGAACTCCTGACCTCGTGATCCACCCGCCTCGGCCTCCCAAAGTGCTGGGATTACAGACGTGAGCCACCGCGCCCGGCCGATTGCTGTATTTCTTAACGTCTTACAACAGCACCTCTTTCTTCTCAAAATTACAACTTCTTGTTCTCCATTTAACAAAAAGGAATAAAATAGAAAATTCTGCTCAGATGGACTCACACAGAAACGTTTGTTTCTAATTGCAAAAGGCCTCTAAGCAGAAAAGAAGGATTTTTCAAATTCTACATCTTCAGCCTGTTCATAGATTCGTTACTGATAAAATATTGGATATTACTGAGTCTTAACTTTCCTATTTTGCTCTGTATCATCCAAACACAGTTTCAACTATAACCAATTACTGAGTGGATCTAGATTCCACAGAGAACCTCACAATCTGGCCATAAAGCACTGGGACAACTAGGGGTCTCTCTGAAGCTGTGTTACACAGTCGACTGAGACTCCGTAGATTTACACCACTGAATAACGCTTCTCTCCATAAGTCAACTAAACTCTCTTGGTTTCAGTGTGCTCATCTGTAAAACAAGCTGGAGAGTTCTCATATTCTATGTTGGGCTTGCAATTCATCCATCCATCTATCCATCATCCAACATATGAATGCCAACTATGGGTAAGAGTTGAAAGTTTTCCACGTAATGCCATTTCTTACCTGATCATAGTAACGCAGGTAATACTTAACAACGTAGTCCACCAGATTAATCCCGTTATCCTAGGTTTAAAAGAGAAATATATATGAAAATCATTCCCATGAAACTGTCATGTGACATGGTTGAGAGATGAAAATCTCAGGTTGAGAAACTTCTGATTTGTGAAAACTGGCTTTCTCTTCGATGCTGGCAGGTTTCCCTTCCTCTGCTTTATCCCATCCATTTATTATGCCGGCTACATAAAGAAATGACACTACCCTGTTTGGGGAACAACAAACAGAGGATCCCTCAAACTTCTGAAATAATGGCTAAAACAAACAAAAAACATTGTCTCCTTGTATTTTCTGGCATAAAGCCAAGACAGGCGGGGGCAGGGAGTGCTGAAGGGAACCAGGGCCTAGAACAGAAAAGCACCCCTCCCTTCCCATCTTCCAAAAAATGTGTGTTCTTAATGGTGTGAAAAACCATCCAGGCCAGCTTAAGTGGAGCGCCACGCCACTGTATGACCCCGGGATGCCGCGGGGGGAGCAGGCCCTCCCACAAGGCAGCCTTTGTGTCCTGTTCACTGAGGTTTAATTCTAATTTGCCTGTGTGTTTCCCCTCCCTGCACCCCCGCTCCCCATGGGACGCCTAGATATGGGCTGGTTGTTTCTAAAGAGGTAGCTCCGCAGGGGTGTGGAGCCAAGGGATAACCAGGCTCAGAGAGCTCGACAGTAGACCCCAGCCCAATTGTTGTGGCAAAAAATTGGTGATTCAACATGGCTCTGCCATTCAGGAATGAGTATACTACTAGTAGCCAACACTAAACCCAAAGAGCCTCCAGCCTTTGCAGGATCCTGGTGCTGTATGCTATCTGTTTTGTTCTCTCACTGAGTAGCAGCTCAATACCTAGTTGTGTATGTCAGAGCACACGAAGATGGGAATTGGGTCACTGAAAATAAGGTCTAATGTGAAAAAAAACCTCTTCATTCAAAAGTGAAAAGAAACAAACAAAAAAAAAACGCACGCTCTAATATAAATGATTGATGTTAAGGGGAGGAGAGAGATAAACGGAACAATCTGGAATACGTTTTTTAAAATTAAAGGTAAAGAAAGAAAATAACGGCAGATCATGGAAACTTATTACGAAAAATAGATACCCGACTTTTGACATCCTTGAGTTTGGGCAGAATTTCTAAGCTATATCCATCGGCTTGTCCCCGAGTCCTATTTCCTCCGTTCATATAATTTCCAAAAGCCAGAATCAGAGCTAAAATATCCTTCACACTCTTCATGTGCAGCAAGCCCTGTGATGGCAAACACCAATTATTACGAAGCTGAACGCCAAATGTACCCATGTTCATTCAGTAACAAATATTTACCAAGTGCTCAGTAGGCTGTCGGGAGGCTTGGTACCAACAGAATTAACAGTTGGTGAAATGAAAAACACACTTTACTAAGCCGTAAGTGTCTTTACAAACACATTAACAGCCATTTTTTCTACCCACTCAACAAATTAATTATAAACAGTACATGTTTTAACACATGAGGATTAACTATTGGTTTTATATTTTCATTTCAGCTAGTTTAATTTTTAATACTTATTTTAAAGTAGAAGTTGTAAAAAAGGAGTTGGTATATATAGTAAGGCTTAACCTTTGAGGACTTCTAGGTAGAAAGGGGTTTACCTTTTGAGGATGTATTTCAGGACTATTTATCTATATAACCAATACAGTTAAATGCAGAGCAGATATAGAAAAAGTATGTTCTTCTTTATCCCTGGATATAATTTTCAGAGGTAAACTGCAATAATGCATTTAAGGCAGTAGGCCATCTTTAATAAATTTATTAAACTCACATTTATTAAGTGCTTGTTCTATGTCTATTTAACTTTTACAATTTCAACCTGCTTAGGATTTTCTTTGGCTCCCTGTCTCATTTGTTTGTCCTTTTATTTATTTTTTACTTCAATTACAATTTTCCAATTGAAACTTCTTTTCTTTATAGTCTTAATTCACATTTTATCCCCCTTTATTTCAGGGTAAAAAAAGTGATGGCTGGGCACAGTGGCTCACGCCTGTAATCCCAGCACTTTGGGAGGCTGAGGTGGGTGGATTGCCTGAGGTCTGCAGTTCAAGACCAGCCTGGCCAACTTGGTAAAACCTTGTCTCTACTAAAAATACAAAAACTAGCTGGGCTTGATGGCAGGCGCCTGTAATCCCAGCTACTTGGGAGGCTGAGGCAAGAGAATCGCTTGAGCCCCGGAGGCAGAGGTTGCAATGAGCCCAGATCACGTCACTGCACTCCAGCCTGGGCAAGAAGAGTGAGACTCTGTCTCAAAAAAAAAAAGAAAGAAAGAAAGAAAGAAAAAGGCAGCTCCAGGCAGACTTCTTTTTCTGCTCCTGCCTGTCAGGTATTATTAGTGAGTGTATAATTATAGTTTGGTAATATTTATTCTCTACTGAAATATCTCATATCTTAGTGGAAAAAAAAAATCATGCCTCCAAATAAGGAACAAAGTACTACAGTGTTTGTGGAGAGGAATAACGTGTCCTTAAGAGCATGGGTCAACTGTGAGAAAAAGCCAGGTGCTAGAAGTTAACCTCATAATGAACACTAGTGTAGTAAAGCCAGCAAATACTTATTTGCCAATGACTCATTGTCAGTCATTTATTTCACTTATCAAGTGTCTAGAATCCTCTTATTAGGTTGACACATTTCAGATGATCAAATGCATGGATCTAAAGCAAAATCTCTTCTGCAATCCAAATTGTAAAATACGAAACAGACCATGCTATTTAGATTGTTTTTTAGTGGCCAGTATGTACTTTGGAAGATATTCAGAGTTTTTTAGAAGCAATCTGTAAAAGCGTCATTTTTTCCCCTTCTTCTCCCTCTTCATCCATCTGCATCTCCTTTTCTCTCCCTCTCTCTCATACACACGCGCGTGCACACACACACATACACACACTTGGGCAAGATAATCATCAAATTTACACTTAGAAAAACATTTGAGTCCAAAAAGGTTTCTATAATGGCACTAAAGTGGTCTCTCCCACTTTCTCCTTTGCTCTTCAGAACAAGGCTATCTTTTAAATTAGACAGTAAACATACCTTAGAAGCTCGCGTGATGATCTCTACCTTTCGGTGCAAGGAGGTGATACCCTCAGAAAAGACAGATCTGAAGATTATGCACTGGGCACGCTCAGCAAAATTAGGAATCTGGGCTAACTCATGTAAAAATCTGTAAAAAAGAAAATATGTCACCTACCTTCACATATAATCACAAAGAAAATAAAAAGACAGCTGAAAAAGATCCACTTTGGGAACATTCCTTATCTAACAATCTGAACTTAACAATTATAAAAGGTGTCAGATAGGTAGACTCAAGGAATTCCAAGGGCATGGGTTCCATTGTTGACAACAGGGCTGCTTTTTAAAGGGGTTCTATCATGATGAATAAATGTATGGTACATAAATTTCTTCGGGAACAGAAAGTTAACACAAGTATACTAAACAAGTTATCTATCTCCTGCTGCCCAAACTAGAGACTAAAGCCAAATGGAAAGCCCTAGTCTTTAACATACGAGAAAAATTATACAATAAACTCCCTCATAATACAGCATTCTCTAAAGGTGTATTTATACAGGCTAAGCAAACTGAAAACTTGAGGCAAATGTCTACAGACAAGTGATTTAAAAAAAAATCTCTTACTGAAATGATATTGCTACTATTTTTGCTCAGTGAGTTACATAATGGTCTATAATGATCACATTCTCCAGATATTTGTTTACTTTTTCACATTAACTTACACATACAGACGTAGTTTACAACTCAGTATTTAGAACAAAGCAGGCACTCATTAAGTAGACAACCTAAAGTTTCCTTAAAAATATGGCAAGAGAGATCTTAAAAGCTAAAGGTGACTACTGAGCTCCGCACAGTAGCTCACTGTCTGAGCAGTTGGGCACTGGTTCCCTTCACAAAACCAAGTTGGAAGAGCTACATATTCTCCAGGCCAACCACTAGAGGAAGGGGTATAAACGAAAATGGGTGGAAACAGTTGGACATGAATTCAGAAAAGGAGAAAATCTACTAACAGCCATTTATTTCATTTTGGAGTTGAGATGATGATTAACTGATATTTCTGAAACTCTTGGTCAACTCATAATGTCATTACCAAGGAATTTTGCCATCTCTCACCAAAAATGGTTTTACATAGGAACAAAGCTAGAGCCTACTTCTTTCTATACCCAAAGATATTTTCTTCGCTTACATACCCTGTGCCACCTCTACCTTTAGGGAGATTTGAGTTTTAATAAATTTCTAACATCAATTGATTTCATATTTATTCCACAACTAGGTCATAATCGACAATCTTTTTTTTAAGATGACATTCAATGAAAGCAAGGAATACCCATAAGAGAAAACACAATCTTGTTTTAAAGTTCAATAACCCATTATCATGAAAATTATATGATGGAGTATAAAAGTAGAAACTCATAGGAATTCTGCATTAGGACAAGATGAAAAAGTTAAACTCTGTGTAAATTACTTCTTAATGAATATAACATTAAACAATTTATTCATTTATCATTACTGAAATCAGGGGTATCATCAGTTTTCACAAATATATAAGCAGCAAAAAGCTCATAGGACTGACAGCATTTGATCCTATAGAGTCTGGGGAGTATGTATTTATTCAGATGCTGAGCTATTTTGAAAGAAGGGCCGTGCATTTCTCCCCTGCTAAATGTGACCATGAGATGTCATTCAGGACCCAGGTTCCCAGAGCGTGTACACTTCCTATTACAGTGAGCGAAGCAGTTACAGACACCACCTGGGAAAATATACAGATCAATGCCTCAGCTCACCAAAAAGGACTTAGATGAAAACAGAAAATGCTGAATGAATAGTTACCTATAACTAATCTCAAAAGAGGAAGCACAGGACCAATATGAGGAGACAAGACCATAGTCTTATCAATGTATGTTACGCAAGAAAGGGTAAGATACAATTGCAAGGCTCTCTAGGATTAAAGCCTTTCTGGGGTTAGGGCTTGCACTGGAAAAGCTCTTAATCTTAATGTTCCAATGTCCTCTTTATGCAGAAGGGTCTGCAACCCATACGAAGAGTTGGAGGGGGTAGAAAAGACCATAATTTTACATTACTTTTGGAAAGAACTGAAAATTAATACTAGAGATCAGTCACCAAGAATGTCAGTCTGTCCTTTAGGAATGTATGAGCATATGCAGCCTGTCAGGGACCATGCTAAGATCTGAGAATAGAGTTTAACTTACAATCCCGTCTTCATAATCCGAGAAGTAAATCAATGATTACTGGGGAGTGTGAATGAGTGCTCTCGGTGACGGATCCAGAAGAGGAGCTAGGAAAGCAAATGCAGGACACTCAAGTGTCATGGGGGGAACACTGTCAGCCAGGGTCCCCGGAGCCCCGTGATGCTCACGCACAACATGTGAGAAACTGCCGGGAGAGCCAAGACAGGCTGAATGGTATGGGTGGGGGAAGTGAGTAGAGGGCAGATGCTAAAATTGTGTTCTGTATTCTAAAATACAGGGTTTAAACTTCTGAACGAATGAAGGGTTTTAAACAGGAAGGTGACAGTTTCCGCTTTTTGTTGTAGAAAATCTCCAGGGCAGCAGCTCAGCTGATTGGATGGGATAGGAAATTTGAGGCTGGGAGACCTCCTGGACCACAGCTGCAGTCTTCCAAGAGGAAAGGTAAGAGGGGCTTGCGGTGTGAATGGAGAGGGGCAAATGGATGAGGAAGCTACCAAGGCAGCAAGACCCAGAGTAATCTAATCCAAAGAGATGTTTAGAAGAGTCCAGGATGACTCTGCAGTTTTGGCTTGGATATTTGATATAGTGAAAATACAAAATAATAAAGAAGCAAATTTAGAGGAAAAAAACTGGGTTTTACGACCCTTGCCATCCAAAAACAGCCATGCAAGGAGCATCATAGCTCCTCTCTCATTTATCTGCTAAGGTACCAGAGGTATGGGTTACTTTGAAGGCTGTGAAGCAAGCAGTTGGTAAATATCTTCTCTTCCTCTGCCCTGCCCCATTACTGTTTTATCCTCTACCCACAAGAGCAAACACAGTAACTCTCTTAAATATTCCCAAGCACAGGATCTTGGACACTGAGCTTTGGTACTTAGGAATATTTATGGATTGAGTTTCTTTTGGGCTAGTCTAACATTACATTGTAGGTTCAGTAAGAAAGAAGAGTAAATATTCCCAAAAGAAGCCATGCATGAGGGATCCTTCCCTTCTTTCTCCAATGTAGGCTAATATTTCCAGGAAGGATTACAACTTCAGCTTCTAATATATGAAAGAAGTTCTGTGTCTCACATTATTTGGGTTACACATCTACAGCAGCGACTCAGCTGACAGGTGGAATGATGCAATGTGGCCTATTGTTTTTAAGGGACTAACATTTGATTTATTATCCCTAAGCTTCTGAATGGTATGACCTAAGGTGCATGTGCACAGAGGTGATACATACAGCATAACTGAATGTTGCAACCTGCATTCTTCGATGGAGGAGTACACTAACACAGCCTACTGTGTGGGGTCCCAAGGCAGCTGTGGACCTTCATAAAACATCACAATAGGCTGTGTATAATGTTCTTACCCTAGGCCATGAGGAGCGTGTACCAGACCTAATCAAACCCGCAGAGCCTCGCCTTACAACCACCACCAGGCAGCACAAGAGTCAAGGGCCATCCCTAGCGGGAGCGGTTCTCAGACAGCCTGGTCCCAAGCAGATGACACCTCTGTGGGGAATGGCTTTCTAAATGTGGCACTGGAGTGTAAGAGAGTTGATGAGGTGAGTGATGAGGCCAGCCTCTCCATGCTCTGATTTATAGGACTGGGCACCACAGGACTCTTAGGAAACTGGAACGTTAAAACTATAAATGATTCATATTTTCCAGTATGTAAAACATGCTTATAGTCGACTCACTTGGAGTTAATGGCAAGTAAGTTGCCAGAGAATCAGAGTGGCATAAATCAAACAAATGCTGGTTTGTGCAGGAGGTCGGCAGCGAAGATGAAATGCACCCAGGTCTGAAGGCCCCCATCTATCCGTGCCTCACCCTCCTGCAACTGAGCCCAGGCATGTCACCTCACCAGCATAGCATGACAGTCCTTTTTGCCAGGGTTGCGTGTTCTTGAAGCCATTGCAATGACCATTTGTAAACATTAAAATGCTTTTCTGTCTAGACCATCAGTAGAGAAAACAAGAGTAAGTTGTGTGTTAATTACCTGCTACCATTATCTAAGTCCCGGCAATGGGAACAATAATTAGGACAGTAGCAGAAACACATGATCCCTCCATGCCTGTTCATTTCACCGGATAAGCCATTCCCACGGCTTAGAGCAAGGGCTGCTCCGGGGTTAAGGGGCTGGCAAATTGCAGCCCATGAGCCAAAACCAGGCCACGACTTGTTTCTGTATAGCCCGTGGATTAAGAACAATGTTTACGTTTTCAAATTGTTGAGAAAAGAATCAATAGAAGGGCAACATTTTATGACATGTAAAAATAATATGAAATTCAAATGTCAGTGTTCATTAGTAAAATTTCATTGGGGCACAGCAATACCCATTTGTTTATATATTGCCTGTGGTTGTTTTGGTACTGCAATGGCTGACTTGAGTATTTGTAACATCCCATAAGTCACAGAGCCCCAAATACTTACTATCTAGTCCTTTACAGGAAAGGTTTGCCAACTCCAGGCTTAGAGGAGAATATGACTGTGTAACTTGGTATAACTAGCATGATCCAAGTGCCTGAGATGCCGACTGTGCCCCAATACATCCCCATGGCCTTTTCAGTGTTGAAATATCCCATTATTAGTCATCTGACTTTCAGTCATTAGCACCGTAAGAGGGATTCATTTGTTATATTAGGAATATGATTGGAAATAGGCCATAGGAACAGTTGAGGGTAGGGATTGGTAAGGAAGGTGTCTCAAGTCAGTGGACCAAGACAGCACTTGACTTGATTCACAGCATTCCTAGGCTTTAGAAACCTACTTTGAGAGGGGGTCTTGGACCACCCTCCATGTGACAGCAAGTCACCCAAGGTTCCCAGAACCATCATGTAGGTTTGTCACTAACTGAGTAAACCCAGAATTCTCTTCCCGATTCCCATCCCCAGTCATTCAGAGATGTTTTCCTGAGTCTACGTGCCCAGGCATCCATGGGGACTGAGGTATTCTAGAGCAGCTGCGCCCAACCCTTTTAGCACAGGGGCCGGTTTCGAGGAAGACAATTTTTCCACAGGCCAGGGGCTGGGGCTGGAGGGTGGGATGGTTTCGAGATGATTCAAGCACATTACATTTATTGTGCACTTTATTTCCATTATTATTACATTGTAATATATAATGAAATAATTATACAACTCAGCATAATCTAGAATGAGTGGGAGCCCTGAGCGTGTCTTCCTGCAACTAGATGGTCCCATCTGGGGGTGATGGAAGTCAGTGACAGATCATCACTGGATTCACATAAGGAGCTGGTGTGCAACCTGGATCCCTCGCATGTGCAGTTCTCAATAGGGTCTGTGCTCCTATGAGAATCTGATGCTGCTGCTGATCTGACAGGAGGCGGGGCTCAGGCTGTAATGCCAGCTTGTCTATCACTCACCTCCTGCTGTGTGGCCTGGTTCCTAACAGGCCACGGGCCGGTACCAGTCTGTGGCCCAGGGGTTCGGGACCCCCGTTTCTAGAGGACCCAGGGGATAAGGCATGGAACTCCAGTGCAAGCCAGAGAACCTTGGAAGCTTCTAGGGCTGACCTGTAACCCTGATCTGATCACTCCATTTCTGCTTCTTTTTCTACACTTGCCTCAACTCTAGGTTGAGAGGGTTGGCCTGAATTGGACAAAAAAATTCAAGGTAGCAACAGGCAAAAGAGGCCCCTGTGTCCTCTGAACCCATTTTACAGTCTCACAGAGTCCCAGGCCGTGGAAAGCTGGGCAGGGGCGTGGGGCTGCAGAGCCCCAGGAGCTTATCTGTGGCTTCGAGACCCCAAGAGTCACCCAGTTACACCCCAGAGTTCTGGGTCTTCAAAGCCTATGGAACGGCATCGCAAACGACAGAGCAAGCAGCTATAGACAGTGACTGGAGAGAAGAGTACAGAGTGAGGGTGAGAAAAAGCCACATTTGGGCAGAGCAGGTGAAGAAGTTTGGGGAAAAGCTGGCACATTCAGGCTGCATTTACTGGATATGACCTTTAGGAAAATAAATTTGAATTCTGTGACTCTGATATCATCTTCATAGCTACATCAGCAGAACCTTAAACAGAACAATGCCTTCTTCCTTCCTCAGTTACCCTTTTGGTCAAAATGTTTAGTCTAGGAGGAATTAACAAGTTGTTAGAACAAGAAAGGGGAGTCTCGTGGGGTGGGGGAGGGGGTGAGACACACTGTCCAACAGCACAAATCTCAGCGCTGCTTTTCCCGGCAGCAGGGTCATCCTGCTGTATGCAATAGGTCACAGGAATGACGGTGTTGTGATCTAGCTGGCTGCACAGTTGAGATTTGCTTATTCTGAGCTGGGAGACAAGAAGACAGAAATTGCAGTTCTCCTTTTGGCCTAACAGAAAAGTGTTAAGTATCCTTACTGCTCAGGTTTATCCAGCAGCTTCAGTTCTTCTTCTTTGGATGTCTCATAATACTTTCTTATTTTAACCAGCTCATCCTCTTGGGCTCTCTGTAGCAAAACAGAAAACAAAACCAAAAAAATGGGCAGTGAGACTCTGGCTATGGCAGTGGGTCTCAACGTGTGGTTCCTAGACCAGCAGCATCAACACCACCACCTGTCACTTGTTAGAAATGCAAATTATTGGCCCATCCTAGACACAAGAACTGCGGGTGTAGGTGGGGGCAGGGGAGGTGCAAACCCACTGGGTGATTCTGATGCACGCTCAAGTTTCAGATTCAATGCAAATAGTCCTAACAAGTGCATGCAGCTGGACACAGAAGTACGGCTACTTGAGTTCTACTTTCGAATCCCCTGTCTCTTCCCCTGTAAGGAGGCTGGAGGAAAATCGTTCTTAGACTTTGCTTCCTTACCCTTAGAACAGCCCCCAATTACATGAACTCGCGGCTCTTTCATTTCTAGTCACCATCGTCCCTTTTTCCAAATTTCGTGAGCACTCATCATCTGTACCATTTATTCTGGCATTTAGTCACCTGCTTTCTCAATTTATCCAACTATGTCAGCCGTATGCAGCTTATCTCTGCTGAGAGCTAACAAGTGGCAACCATGTGCACAGTCCTGAGCTCATGGTAACAACACGAAGCATCTGGAAGGTACTGCCTTTGACAAATTCCTCTAACTTGAACCACTAGATCCTCAATTTACAGATTATTCCACTGAGGCTTGTACTAAGTAACTGTCAAAGAGCCTCGGATGTGGAAATCCCTCTTTCTGCCACTATACCTTGCTGACCTCCAAGTATTCAAGTGCATAATTAGCTCCCAATGGCCTGGTGTTTGTGTACTTTCTGGTTTATTAATGAAAGCTTTACTAATGGAAACGTGAGAAGTTCCCACCCACTTGTAGAGTAAGTAGCTCCTGATACATATAAAAGATGTGAAAATGAGCAAGGAATTGGTGATGCCACCAGGCCTAGACTATTAAACTACGGAAATCTTCCGTAAGAAACTTAAGGTCCCAGGGGACATAAATATGAAACGAATCATCTTTTGAACTGAGTGACCACAGCATACTACAGAGCCCTAGACAGCTTCCTGGGAAATACCATTACTTAAGAGAATGTGGTTCAATCTATGTTTTTGTAGCCTAACAGTCAGTGAACCAAAACAATGAACAACCATGGGAATTCTGACTCTCCTGTGTTGTCTTCTCAAGTGAACCTGACAATTCTGCTGGTTATGTCCACTTAAAACCCAAATCAAAAGACCTTATATGTGTACAGTCCTGTTGACTTTCAAAATACATTGCTGCTGCTACATATATTAAATCCTCATTTGATTTAAAAAAAAAAATTGAGAGCCTACTATAATCCCTGCTGTACTGATGATCACAACGGGATTAAGGAGTTTAAGTAACTGGCCCAAGGTCACTTGGCAGGCAATGGTAGACACAGCTGGACCTCAAACCTAAGACTATCTCACTCTAAATCCAGAACACACACCCACCATTCTACACACCTTCCCACATTCAGTATCATCAGCTCATCTGGACTAACAGCAATCCATCAAGCTGGTGTTAGCAGTCCCCATTCCTCAGAAGTAGACACCGGTGCACACTATCATTTCAGTAGGCAGCTTACCTTCATTCATTCAGCCGGCAAGTGATAAGACTGGGTTCCAGGGCACATAAGTGGTGTCCACCTTAGATGCCCTGCCTTGCAAGTGTGCAATGAGATCTGCTAGTCCAGATACCACAGTGGGAGTTAGAAATCCAGTGCTCCTCACATCCACTCCCATTCAGGCCTGTGTTTCTATGCCTTAATCTCTTCCAGGCTATGTCAAAACCCTTATTACCAAAGAACGTGAACGGCTCAGTCATTTCTCGGGTGGAAGATAAATATGGAAACGCTAGCTCTGTAAGTCTTTGACACTCACGTTTTCATATAAGGCTGCCAGGGTCTCCAGATCAACCACGGAGTCATCCACATTGAAAATGGCTGCCGAGCACCCAAAAAGAAAAGAGGATAAGGGATTTGATTAGGTCCCCTGCACCAATGTTTACTCCACATCCAGCTTCCAAGCAATTAATAGGGTATTGCACTTTCTTACACAAGCTGTGCCTCTCAGCTTGTTTCTGCTCCCCTTCCTCTCGCACCAGGGGTCTCAAATGAAAGAAACCAAAATGGTTCCTATCATTGGCCTGAGTCTTGGCTCTGCCTCGTTTAATTCCTCAGGCTCTGAGTCCTTTCTGCAGTTTAATTTAGGCTCCACAGGAGAAGCGTTTGTGCTTTAAAACCAAATCAGTTTGTAGGTTTCAAGCACAATTTTAAATCTTTCTTCCCGATGGTAATTGAAGAGATTTAGCACCTAATGCACCAGAACTGACTCCTGCCCATTACCAGAAAGAAAGAAAGAGAAAAAAGACAATGTTGGCAAATTAAATGAATTCAGGCATGTGATTTCAGGGACCTTTCCGTGGCTACTGCCAACATCTTGTTTGGATTAAAAAGACAAGAAAAAGCAATAATTGCATCAATAACAAATTAAGATTATGGAAACCTCCCATGAGCCAGTCTTCAGGCAGGCTCTCATTCCCATGGTTTTATTAGGATTCTACTTGTTCTGTATTATTTAAGATTAATTTAGTCGTTAACTAATATGCTTATGATTTCATCTAGAGCAGTACCTTCCCATAGATACTGCGATGCAAAAATTGAGACTTAAAATCCCTAATGGATTTGGCTACCAAAGTGTTTGAAATAAGCAGGTCCACATCTTTAAATAATTATTCAAAACTAATAGGGTTTGTTCCCTCAAACCTACCTCCCTTCCCTCACTTTACATTGTGAAATTAACCAGCAGGCTAATAAATTTTCTCCGTGGCAGGCTAATTAATTTTATTAAACCAACCAGTGATACTTAGAATGCCTTAAAATTTTGCTCGTCAACTATTTATTCCGTTCATTTGCATTACACCATGGTTTTTGGAAAGGTGGAGATCAAGGTAAGGGGCAGGTTGTTTCTGAGGTATTTTGCTTCTTCTGTGGTTTAGAATCACATGAACCCTTTCATACAATTTTAACGAAGCTAATTAAGTGAGCTCAGATCATGGAATCTCACAGAACACCAAGAAATGTACTTAAAATTCCTTTGCAGGCCACCTTCTCAAACTTAGGGGTTAATCAGCAAGCTATTCCTAAGGGTTAATCAGCAAGCTATTCCTAAGTACGTGGAACAGAGAGAAAAGAGGAGGTTAACATGCTAGAGACAAACTAAGCCACCTCAGATTCCACCAAGACAAAGGAATGTCACATATCCACCAAGGCCAATCTGAAACCACCAAAGAAAAATGCAGTTTAAGGACAGAAAGAAAGAATTTGCCTTCTCAAGACTGTTATTTTGTGTGTGGAGATAATATAAATCCACTAATTTGTCAGACAGAACATGCATTTTTAAATGAATAATGCTTTGAAAATCAAAATAGCCAGAAACAATGTCCACTTTATGTAAATCTCAGTATTCTCTTACAAAAATCAACCAACATGAGTGCACAAGAAAAGGTCAAATTCTAAACAATAATCTATCAAAAATGTTTACGTGTTAACTAATCATGCATCCAGGGTAACTATATATTACAAGCTTAGATATAATCAAATAATCTTAACTAATGAGAAAGAGAATGACCTGTGAGTTTCTTTTCCTAGTAAGTAAATATTCAGTTTTTAAAAGTTAATCAGTCTGGGGCCCAGGTACACAGTTCCTCAGATTATATCGTCAGCTGTGCCCCTTCCAGTGTGTTCACAGCAGAAAAATAACAGCCAGAGAGGCTGGGACTGAGAACCACCATGGGCTCTGAAGACATGGATTCATTCATTCCCCTCATCCAGCCCTTGAATAAATATTTGTTGAATATGTACAGGATACTCCAGAAACTGTTCTAAAATACTGTGGATTTTTAAGTTAATTAGATTTTCATGTAAATCTCATGAAATTTACATCCTAGACTGGAGACAGAAAATAAACAAGTAAATACATAATTTCAGATAACAATTTACTATGAAGAAAGTAAAACAGAGAAATGTACAACATTAGACAGGAGGACCAAGGAAGGCTTCTTTGGGAGGTGACATTTAAGGGAAGACCTGCAGAGGTCAGTTTTGTGGCTATCTTGGAGAATAACGTCTCAGGGAGAGGTAACTGCAAAGACAAGTTTCTTTTTCAGAAGGAGCACATTCAAGATACAGAAAAAAAAAATCAAGGTGACTATCATGGATAGAGCAAAATTTACTCATTGTGTGATCCTGATGTGTTAAACTTTCTGAGCTTCGGTGTATCTACAAAACAGCTCTAATACCACTTACTGAAAATATTAAGTGAGGTAAGATGTATGCTTAGCATAGCATGTAGAACATGGTATATGCCCAAAATGGTATGTATGAGCTATTACTATCATGATTTCAAATACACACATTGTAAATGTGTTTTAATGCTTGTTAATGCCTCATCCCCTTTAACATCTGGAAAGAGTTAGAGAAAGAAAACTACAACTACTGAGTGATTTGTGCTGTAAATGCAACTTTCCAGAATTCTTAGGTGTTTCTGATCGCAGTTACTGTGAAACCCTTGCAGTCCTTTAAAATCCTACTCAAGACCTAATTTCAGAAAGCATTATTAACAGGAAAGGTCTATGACACAGAACTCTAATTACAAAAATAACAGATCAAGTGTCTTAAGGGAAATGCCAGATACCTCCAAGTCTGTATTATCATATTTTTATCTCTAATTTCAATCTTTCTCATCAATCTATCCTTCACTGTACCTAGGTTATTTTTTAAAAACATGGATTTCAAAGTTTTACTGTGATGCTTAAAATACCTCCAGTACCTTCCTTTAAACACTCAGCAAAGTCCGAACTCCTTGGCCTGGCTGTTAAGCTCATTCCCTGCCTGGCCTCAATTACACTTCCAATCTCATCTCCTACCATGTTCTCCATGCACCTAGGGTTCCAGTCACACTGTGTCATTCCCCATTCCTGAACATGCCATGGCTTCCTCCCTTTCTTCATCTCTCCAAGGCACAGAGGTCAAAGCCCTGGAAGGACATCCTTTGACCCTCAGATCATTAGGTCCTCAGTCTTTTCCTCTGCCATGGCACCTCTGTCATATTTTACATAAGATGAAAATGGTATACTTTAAGAATCTGTATGATGGTATGCTGCATAACAGTTTCCTTCCCCCACGAGATTGTGAAAGCCTTGCAGTCGGCAGTTGATTTCTTATGCATCTTGATAACTGTCTCCCAGCGTGGTACCAGGGGTGCAGCAGGTAGAACGTAAATGTTTGTGGGTATGATTATATCACAGGACTCCTGAAGAGTGAGTCCTTCTGCTGATGGGAGGAAAAGCTTCTTGACAAAGAGAACATGCGGTCTTCAAAGGAAACCAGAGCACCTCTAAAGGCGCACAGCCTTATAAGGCACGTATCTGGATGATGGTTGTTTGCTTCTTCGCAATTTGACCCTGTCCAAAAATCAAGGTTTGGCCAGCAGTTACGTAATTGTGCCCCTAACTCATACACTCGGTGTAGATTACACGACTTGCCTGAATATTCCCTCATAAAAATAATTAACTTCAAAAATGAGTTTTCTCATTATTAGGGAATGAATAAGGAAAATATCTTTCCTTATTCAAGAAAGTTTTAAACAGCTGTATCTCCTTAGGAGAAAGGTTACGAGTAAAAGTTCAACTGTTATATTGCTTTAGGTAGACACTCAAAACACTCATCTATTAATCACCAACAATTAAGCTAAATCCATCCATGCAATGACAATCTGTAAATATGCAATAAGTGCCAGTGAACGTAAACTGGAATGATATAAGACATTCCAGCTAGAAGAAGCAGATGATAGACCAGCTCACAAAATGTTTAGGCAATGGCAGGTAGTTCAATTTTGGTTTGAAGTGAGAATTAATTAAAGTGACTGGAAAGACACACTCCAAACATAGTTTGGGGGAAAACCTTGGAGAATTTTGAACGCCATGATGAACCTGTAAAACACTTGTTATACAGGAGGGAGCTGCTGAGCAGTTATGAATAGAGGAGTAAATTGGACAAAATTACATTACACACACAAAAAGTCAAAATTTGAAAAGACTAGTTTAGAATCTATTGTAGTGGGCAAGAGGTAGCAAAACCCTGAACAGTGTGGACAGAAAGGATAGGGCAAAAAAGAAAGACACTACAGAACACTGTTAGAGTGACATTGCTAAATACGACTAATTTAATCTCCCTAAGTTCTAGGCTCAGTATCAATCTCTTGATATTGCTAATTCTACCTCTGAATTTTAGCTCTGGGGACTGAGGAAAGTAGAGTCTAAAACCACTCTGAGGCTTTGAGCCTAGGTTTAGGGGAAGAGCTTTGTACCATCCCCCCGGGAAATAGGCAGGGGAGTGTAAGAGATGAGCATGACCACTGATCTGCCCCCTCAGGGAACTGGGAAAGGAATGCAGTAGAGAGGAAAGGACAGGTAAAAGAAGTAGATAGAGATGAACTTAGGGCCAATGCCAAGTATTCTACTGAAGTTTCTCCTCTTCCAAGGAAGGATCTTAAAAATACAATTTAAAAAGTAAAAGAAAATCCAGAGGTAGAATTAGCAATATCAAGAGAGTGATACTGAGCCTAGAACTTAGGGAGATTAAATTAGTTGTATTATTTCTAATAAGAATAATATTGGCCTGGGAAGGTTGGGGTATCAGCCAGAAGTCTAAAAAATAAAAAGGCCTAATCCCAGCACTTTGGGAGGCCGAGACGGGCGGATCACGAGGTCAGGAGATCGAGACCATCCTGGCTAACACAGTGAAACCCCGTCTCTACTAAAAAATACAAAAAAAATAGCCAGGCGAGGTGGCGGGCGCCTGTAGTCCCAGCTACTCGGGAGGCTGAGGCAGGAGAATGGCGAAAACCCGGGAGGCGGAGCTTGCAGTGAGCTGAGATCCGG